ATGGCGGAACATGGAGGTGCCACATACAGCAGTGGGACAACAAAGTTGGCAGGAACCAAGGACGGACGGGCACAGTCCATGTGTCTCTGTGAGCTTCTTCCAGCGGCTCGCTTTCCTCTGATCACCTGAGCCTGGATTCAACTAGCGCCAATTTCACAGAGACAAGGCGCAGGACAGCCTGGGGCGAGTCAAGCTTGAAATAGGAAAAAAAAAGGCAAGGCAGCAGACGGCCGAGTAGGCAAAATATGCAAGAGCGGGGGAAGAATGGAGCAGCAGCAAGAGCAGCAGAAGCGCAGAGACTCGACCAACCAGCGCCGCCGCGCGAAGAAGCACACACACACACAGCTGGCCACGCCGGCTTTGATTGAATTGGTATCTTGGTCGTCGTCGTTGTCGTTGTCGCTTCTGTTCTCCACCATACTATCTCGTTCCTCTCTCTCTCGTTCGTTCGTTCGGTTTCCGTTCTTCTTCTCCTTTCTACACTTTATTCAAAAATGGTTCTCAACCAGGAAAAGCTCGCCAAGCTCCAGGCTGCCAGCCGAACCGGTACGTTTCACCCCATCATTCCACAACATTCAGCAATTTGACCAACGGTTCTCTCGGATGCTTCATTGGCTCCACAGCAACAAGCTACAAGAGGAAGCCCCACCACGCCAATTTACTAGGATACCTGCTCATGAATTGCTGACCCTTGCTTTCTTCATACCTCTTCCAATCATCACATGCGCGCACAACTGTTTTCGATTCTCGCTCTTCCGACTTTCGCCTGACCACCATTTGTAATGGTCATCTACCACGCACTGCATGACTACCGCAATGACTCGACTCTGCTTCCTCTTCAACATCTTGCGCCGTGATCCTTCAACGCACACGCACCCTGTTTGCGACCTCTCCCACGACTCGATGCTTGACTCTGCGACAAAACAGGTGGTAAGGGTACCCCCCGTCGTAAGATGGCCCCTAAGCCCAAGGGCCCCGGTGGTGAGGACCCCAAGCTTCAGGCTGCTCTTAAGAAGCTCCAGGTGGAGCCCGTCTCTGGTATCGAGGAGGTCAACATGTTCAAGGAGGATGGTAACGTTCTTCACTTCTCTGCCCCCAAGGGTAAGTTTAAAAGATGACAGCATAGCTACGGACCGTCTCGAGCATATCGCAGTCGCCTCCCCCCGATGGACACAAACAGCTTCGATCCATTTGTGGATGGAATTCGCACGACAGAAGGAGCATCGTTGGATTAGGACATGGAGCACGGAGAAAGAGACGCAGAAAGACAAGGGCAGGCTTCAACTTTGGAGCGGACCGATTTTCTCTTGGCTGGATGGCCTGGCTCACAACGTTGGCTGCTCGCCGAGACAAGGTCGCTTTCAACGAGAAAGCTCTCGTGTTGCTCAGTCAACCTTTGGCACCGCCAATCATGCTGAGTCGGAGTATTCAGCAGCAGTGAGGCAAAGACTAGAAAAACCCCTCGACATCTGGAACGATTCCAGAATATGATTCGGCAAACCGGATTTACCAACGCTCGAGACGGTGCTTGACGTTCACGCTAACGAAAATGCAATTCAAGATGCTAACACTTTTGCTTTGCTCCTGACAGTCCACGGTCTCCCCACTTCCAACACCTTCGCCGTGTACGGCAACGGTGTCGACAAGGAGCTCACCGAACTCGTCCCCGGTATCCTCAACCAGCTCGGCCCTGACTCGCTTGCCTCGCTTCGCAAGCTCGCTGAATCCTACCAGGCTATGAACGCTCAACACGCTGCCTCGCAAGCCGCTGCCGCTGGCTCCAAAGACGACGACGACGTCCCCGACGTTGTCGAAAACTTTGACGAGGCCGACAAGAAGGAGACCGAGGTTGACAAGCTCGACTAAATGCATCGCCTCCGCCAAACCGCAGCATCATCATCTGACTCGAGCCCCACACGCCATGATGGTTCGATATGCATCACTCAGTCCTATCTGTATCGCAGCTTCAGGCTTTGTTACCCTTCATTTCGTGTCCACTCGAATTGGTCAACACCCCCCAAAAATATCACCAAAGTTGTTGTACAAGATCAATTGCGCGCTCTTTGTGTTTTGCCGATTTGGGCTTCTAGACTTTGACTCTGTGTTCGTTGCAATCTTAGAAGCGGGTTGGTCCAGAAGGTTGAGTATTCTATTTGGGAGGGGCTTCGATCTGCAAAGTTCCGTCGGCAATGGTTGGGTCTTCCAGCAAGGTCGAGTCAGGATTCAGTCGGTGATGGCAAACTTGTGCGTGCCGCCCTTCTGTAACACCCTCTGGTAACTCGGCAGCTTGGCCAAACCTTTCAACCAAGCTACGGTGTTTGGCCAATCCTCCTTCTTCTTTCCCTCGCTCGTGATACCGGTATCCATATAGAAGGTGTATTCTGCGGTGAAGGCACACATGATATCCGCCGCCGTGAGTCTTCCTCCTACCAGAAATCCTCCTGCCTTGTCTTTGCTCAGGGCGGACTCGAGGAGATTGAGATTGTTCTGAATGTTTGCGCTCATCTTCTGCTCGATATTCTTCGCCGTTGCTTCATCAGCGAACCATCGAGGGTAGATTGCTGCCAGGGTATGAACCATCATCCCCTCACTGAAGGAGATCCAGCTTTCGATATCGCCCCTCTCTTGCCAGTTGGACGCCGAACCGAGAAGCTCCGTCTTGCCCCGCTGTGGACCGTAGCGCTCAATAAGATACTTGACGAGCGCAGCACTTTCGCCAAGTTTTACGTCACCATCGATGAGGTATGGGGACTTGCCGAGAGGGTTTCCAGAGTCAGACTTGAGCTCCGGCACAGCTCGTTTGCCTTGGATTCGGGCATAGTGTTTCAGCTCGTATGGCAGCTCGAGCTCTTCCAAGGCCCACGCGACACGGAAGGCTCGTGAGTTTTCGAGAAAGTAGAGGGTTCGGGTGTCTGTCATCTTGCACGTTGTCGAGGAAAGGGTGAGGATGGCGGTCGTTGCTAGGCAGAAGATGCGATTTTGTGAGCGACAAAGATCATAAGGAGACCAAAACGAGGTAGACGATAGGCAGCCACAACGGACGACGCTTCCGGAAGAACTGGCCGTCGGCGGAGACCAACATGTGAGTTTGCGTCGAGGCTGCGGAGTCCAACAAAGAGTCGCCGTCTGCTACGCCGTCTGCTACAAAGTAACGTCTCGAGTGCGGGGAACCATTTCGAGTCCAGAGACAGAAAAGGCGGGGAGTCGCGTCTTATTTACGGTCCCGACTCACACTCGACACTCATGCCCAACCTGCTAAGCCTGTTCCGCCCGTCGAACTCCTTCCACCGCAGCTGAACCCTCACTTGATAGTGCACAAAAGACCTGTTCTGTCCACAAGCCCCTTGCCGGGATGTGCATAAACGCGAAAAGGACCGCACTCTCAATCTCCCGTTACGATCGTATCAGATGAGGGCAAGCTTACGCGATCCAAGCCTCGGAAACCGTTTGCTTCTACTCATCCTCATCTCTGCCACCTCCGGACGTTGTGAGCTTCACTGCATCTCTCGACCAGAGACTTCTGAGAGCAGAACGCTTTGCTCCAGAGGCTTCTCTGAAGTACAGACGAGACTGTGCGCCTTTCGAGGTCTGGACTATGCTTAGAAATTGCGAATTGTCATCGCTGCCTTGTCGCTCGACACGCTGTGAGCAGATGCCTGTCATGCATCCATGCTCACTAGCATCACAAAAAGGGAAGGCTTATGGCGCTGTAAGCGATATCCATCATCCATTTCTTTGCTACAATCTGATATGATGAAGAATTTCAGGCGAGCTTGCCCTCGGCCCATCGATTGGTCTTGAGAGCCATTCTGTAGCGCCGCAAAAGAGACAATGATCAAGTGAGAAAGGGTCAGCTTTACTCTTTGGTTTTGTCAGACATTCCTTAAAAGGTGTGTGTACTTACTCGACAGCAGCGGAACCCCAATCCAAGCCGTGGTTGTGACCCTTGTTGGCACCCCTACCGACGCCGCTCCTCTCCAGAGCCTGATCCTCTGTCAGTGCGGTCAAGACACCGAGAATGACCGGCACACCGGTGTCAAGCCCGATACGCATCAATCCGGAACAGCAGCTCTCCGAGATGTATTCAAAGTGCATGGTCGACCCCTTAATAAGGACACCGATTCCGATCACTGCATCCAATGCTGCCTTGCTCGCCTTGACGCCGCCCGTCGTAGTAGGAGTGGAAGGTTTGCTGTTGTCGTCGAGAAGCGAAGTGGCGCCCATCAGGTCAGAAACATTTGACGAAGCCTGTACCTGGGAAGCAGAAATGAGGCGAGAGACACCGAAGGGAAGCTCCCACGAACCAGGGACAGACTCGATGACGATGTTCTCCGGTTTGACACCGGCCTTGGTGATGTTCTCGACGCAGCCCTTGACCAAAGGGGTGATGCATTCCTCGTTCCATCGTGCGTGAACGATGCCGATTCGGAGATGCTCGGCGCCAGGGAAAGAGGTAGGTGCGGGTGCGGGACCCTTGATGCTCGCCATTTTGAGAACTTGCGGTTCAAGTGGGAAGACGGACGAGCGTCGTAGATAAGAAGGCCGTAACTATATAGCTGTCGATGATGGTGAGCGGATATTGTCCGTGAATGATAGCGTAAGAAGGATTGTGATGGAAGGCTGAGGCTGTGATGATGAATGCGAATCTCAAATGGACGCCGTCCGTGCATAGCCAAATCGAGCCAAAGCCACACGCCGTTCCGCTTTCGGCAGAGTTAAGTCTCAAGCCGCGGATTCAGAGCGAAGGACCCAGGTGATCGAGTTGAGAAAAATGATCGTTGCCCGATCTGTAGTATTCCTTTTACCGGATGACATCGTATTCAATAAGCAGTTCACTGACGGCAAGCCGCTGAAATTTATTCAAAAAGTGAAATATTCACTCAACGAGATATCCAAATAGCGCGCTTTGATTTACTCTCTCCAAAGTAAGAACAACCAAAAAGGCAACCAAAAAAAAAAGGCAACCCTTCACCCTTCGGGAGACTCAAAAAAATAGATTATGCGCTGGAGGGGAATCGAACCCCTGTCTCCTGCTACGCTTATGACATGTTCTGTCACTTGGAAGGCAGGAATAATGAACCATTATACGACCAGCGCCTACAGATGCAGGTACTTCTCCAAGTACCAATTATAATCCATGTTGTAGTCGACGACAATTACAGGGTCGCTCATGTGTTGGCCGATCAACATGACCCTTACTCCTCTGCTCGTCGGTCATTAGGGTGCAAATTGGGTGATTTGCGTACCAGCTCGATATCAAGGGCTGCAGCAAGCGCCGAGCGTGGAGGGGTACACTTGGGATGATGGTGTTCACGAGCGTTGACAGGACTCAGAGGAAGAGGGAAGCGCAAAGAGAGCTGCGACATGCGAATGTTTGTCTTTTGTGTGCATGAGACGTTCGGACGCCGCTCTTGTATCCGCATAAGCCTTCACAACTACTGCAAGGGAGGAAGGGCTGAGTGTGACTTATCCAGCCACGAGTGCCTTAGACACACAGGATTCCATCTTTTACATGTACATCCTATCCGGCTCTCAGACGCTCAGTTACTCTAGTCGGAGGTGAAATGTCCTCTCACAGATCTTTCGGGAGGGAACAACCGCCTCACATTGGACGCTGACACCGAACCACACAGCTTGGCGAGACTGAGTCACCTCGTGCAAAACGCGTGCTGTCAAACTTTTTATAGGGCTCCGTACAGATGTTTGATTAGATCTAAGCCTGTCGCCTTTCCTGCCTCTTGACCCAATCCAAGACCTTGAATTCCAGACCGGGTAGACTTCCCTTGTGCCTCTTCAAGCAGTCGACCAGTTCGCTGGCATCTGGCTTGACCGCTGCAGCGGCGGGGTGACTTCCTTCCAACAGAGCCGCACACTCAGCCTCGCTGGGAAGAGCAAACACGTTGTGGCTCTGCTCCCACTTGAGCGGACCTTTGCCCCTCAACAAGCTGTCCCTAGCCTGTCGAGCTTCCTTGTTGGTCAAAGGCTCAGGGATAGCAGAGAGGTGCGGAACGTCCATCTTCAACCCAGCTTTCTTGGCCGTTTCCAAATCGCTAAAGAACTGAGCGCGGATGGTGGTGTCCGAGACCTTGTCGAGCGAAGCCGGTTCCCAGTCGGCAATACCGGTCCTACGCTTGCCAGTGGCCGGGTCCCGTTCCAGTACGTGAGTGACACCCGTATAGAAGTCTCGACCAATGGAAAGGTCGCAGAAGGCGGTGGCGAGACGCATGTCGAATCGGAAGGCTTCCTCGACGTCGAACCTTCTTGCTTCAAGGATGGCCTGGTGAGTGATCTTTAGTGCGCGCGGAGACTTGGTCTTGAGGTCCTTGAGGGTTTGGGTAGCCCAAGCCTGGACATCAGAGGTGATGGAGGGGAGGCCGAGCTGGGCGAGTTCCGCTGCGGCCTGAGAGTCTGCCTCTGCTGAAGCGATCTCCTCGAGACAGGAGAAGATGGACTCGCACGACAGCTGACCAAAGACGTAGTCGAGCGCAATGCGCCGGTCGCCAAAGAATGCAGACTTGTCCAGAGTGTCTTTGGCGGCGAGAGGGTCAGAGGAAAACTCGCTCAAGGCGGAGGAGACGAGAGAAGGGTTGAGTGCGCTCTCAGCAGGGAGGGTGCTCAGACGGTGAGCGATGGCGTCGATGCTCGAAGAGGGGACGTAGTGAGTAGCCAGGCCAACAAGGTAAGCCTCTTCTCCGCTGATCCTGGCGCCCGTCATGCCGAGGTACTGTCCGATTCGTCCATCGAGACGCGCGAGCACGCGAGTGACACCGACATCGGGGAAGTACCCGATGCCAGTCTCAGGCATAGCAAACATCGTTCGCTCGGTAGCGATTCGGAAAGGGGCATGGACCGAGAGACCAACGCCTCCACCCATAGTGATACCGTCCATGACTGAAACAAACGTCTTGGGCTTCTTCAAGTCTCCACCCTTGCTCTTGGCGAGCGTGCGTGCGTCTTCGGCGCCCGTGCCGGCGCTGTGGGCGTTGGCAGTCTCGCCGAGCCTGGCGATCTTGTAGTCGAGCTGGAATTCGGTTCGGAAGAAGTCGAGAGCTTTGTTGCGCACCTTGGGATCTTCAGAGTCGGCAGCTTTGACAACGGCGAGCACGTCACCACCAGAGCAGAGGGCACGACCGACACCACGAAGGAGTATCACGTTGCACGTAGAGGACTGCACACACTCGTCCAGCGACTTCTCAATGAGGTTGACCATCTCCTGGTTCAGCGCGTTGAGTGCCTTCTCACGGTTGAGCAAGATGGTGCGCAGACCACCTTCGGACAGCAGCTTGACCAGCTTGTTCTCATCGACAGCAGAGGCGCCGCTGGAGGCGCGGACCGGTGCCGAGGCAGACATGGTGGCGGGTCGCGAGGAGGAGAATTGACGAGAGACTTGGTTGAGCCTGCTGCTGGCGATGGATGTGCGCTTATGCGACATACTGGAGGTTACGGCGGGGAGGACGGTGCGGGTGAGATGAGCGGCGTTGGTCGTGGTACGCGATCGCACAAGGAGGGATGAGGAACTGCGAACGAGTTTGGACGTCCTCATAACGGGTTGCGGGGGGATGGTGGAATGCGAGGAACGGGACGAGGTGACGAGATGGCTAAGGGAGGATATTGTGGTGTGATAGCCTGTTGAACAGAGCGCAACGGGGCAAAGGTCTAGCAGAGAAGGACCGGTTAGAAGCCGTCACCAAAATCGGGATGCAGGTCTCGAGTCCCGGTTCGAAACAAGGATGTTTAATTTTCACTGTGTAACAACTGCAGATGAGCAGCACATAGTGGTGTATCAAACACTACTCCACCACCAATACAGACCTTGTGCACTATCACGAGCTAATACAGCACTAAAACAAACCTTAAGAAAGCAATGGTGGTGTGTCAAAACTTGTGCAGAGCTGATACAGTGATGGTGGAGGAGTGCTGCATCAGAAAAGGCTGATACACTGGTTGTGCAAAAGCCGGTGAGTCAGGTTAACACCGAAACACTTTTTACGATGTGCAGATTGCCAACCTCTCCCTTGCAGTATGAAACCAACAAGAGCTTGTTAAGTGTAACACAACTGTCGGCGTGGCTTATGACTACTCTATTGGCACGGTTCCAGACCATTCAGATGCTTACAATATTCTGAAGCTGGTCAGTCACTTGATGAAGACATTATTAACTACAATTTTGACGCTCCTGACATCATGCGCTCAAAGCAATCTTAACGGCAAATAAGGGGACGATGGTGATGGTGAGGAAGTTGCAGACATTGAACTGGCGGCGTGGCATCTGACCAAGCGCAAGAGGCTTGATTGCCTCCGGCGTGCCTGCCAGCAAGGTTTGACCCTCTCCTGGACCTTAGCAGCCCTTCCACCCCAAGGACGTGCAGAATGCTGCCCTGGACGAAGATTTAATCAAGAAATTTTCCAGCAGTGTGTTACAATTTTGATCGCAAACCCTCCGCCCCACCAACCCGCTCCCACAACATTTGCGATGACTTATCTCAAGACCCAAACTTGTGCAGTAGCGGCAAGGGCCAGGTGCGCCAGCGCGCCTCGATCCTCTGCACAGCCGGCAAAGAGTGTCGTCTGAAGTTCTTTTTTTGTAGGACGGAACAGACTTTTCATCTCCGGCCGCTCAGATTGTATTACCTTGACGGATTCATCCAGACAGGCGAAGCACCCAGGAATCAAAGGTGAAGACTCATTTGTAATGCCAAAGAATGAAAATCTCAGAGTACATGAAAAAGGGTCAGATTAGAGCAAAGCAAATTCAGACGTCTTGCCAGTCCAAAGAACCCAAGATGGCCGTCTTGGAGGGCAGCCTTCCGGTGCTAGGCGAGAGTACGGTGATCTTTTTGCGGACGATGTCGATGTCGGCGACGTGGACAAAGCCCAAGATGGGGGCACCAATGATTTCGTCGTCTGTTGGGTTGGTGGAAGAATCTGGCTGTCCCGCACCTCCTCCGCCTCTGGGCGGCTGGATGAGAGCAAGTACGCTGTGGAGCAAGCTGGTCTGATCTGCGGCTGAGTTGGTTGGGTCCAACTTGACCAGCTGGGTCTCTGTGACTGTCCGGGACGCTCCAATGGGCAATGCCGACGATGGCGCTAAACTCTCCTGCCCGACCTTGTATATCTCGAGCAAATCAAAGGGAATTGTGGTGCTGTAGGGACTGAGCGAAGGCACTCCACCCAAGGGATCGGCGTGTCCTGGCAGAACCATCTTTGGTACGCCTCCCTCCTGGTTTGCACTAGAACTGCTCGACCCGCCATAGAAATAGGTCTTGACCTGCAACGCCTTCAAGCGGGCCCTGTACATATCGTCCAACTCTACCACACCACCGCTCTTGGGCAGCTTGATCACATTGATCCTGGGCAGCTTCTGACCATGGGAGTTACGAATGTCAAGCGGTTCGGCCGTTGGGTTGCCAAACATTTTGGTCATTTCCAGGTTGAGCTTCTCGTGGCCGAGGACGACGATGGTATCGATCTTGAAGGCTTTGACGCAGTGCTGGATAAAGGCGTATTTAGTTCTTGCGTCTGCGGTGATCACGCCGGGAGTGTCGATGAGAAGACCCGACATGCGGGAGCGGAAATCGCGTGCGAGCCGTCGCTCGACGCCTTCGGCCAGCCAGTCGACGACGCGGCGGAAATGGCGCTCGTTCTCGCGCACATTTTCTTTGCCGAGCCAGAGGGAGAGGGGAGCGACGCCGTGGGCGGTGGATGTGCCTGGTGGGATTGCACCCGTAGTGCCGGTGTTGGTTCCGAAGGGGAAAGCTGGGGAGGGCGAAGGCAGCGATGCGAGGGGAAGTGGGGAAAGTGGCAAGGCAGAGAGACAGCATGGCAGTGGCGGCGCACCATCACTCGGGTCGAGATTGACGACGACGGGCCACCATCCGGTGATATCACTGCGCTTCTCTTCTTCGCGCTTTGCCTTCTTGGCTTCTTCAGAGAGGTTGCTTTCCATGTTTGGGTAGATAATGCCGTCTCCACCCGTGCGAAGACTCTGTGCGACTTTCCCTGCCTCACCTTTGCCCAAGCTCGCAACTGCGGGCGAACGGAGAGCATAGTTGGCGAGGAGCTTGATCAGACTCGTCTTCCCTGCCGACTCGGGACCG